AGTCTAGCTCACCAATTCTGAAAGGCATGTTTGTAGTTCAAAGTTTTGTGTAAAGGTGGACAGGTACAAGATGGAACATCTCTTAAATTCTCTAAGTTTTTGTTTGTTTCCTTTTTTTTTCTTTTGGTGTGGCAATTGGGGTTAAGTGACTTGCCCAGAGTCACACAGGTAGTGAATGTTATGTGTCTGAGGCCGAATTTGAACTCATGTCCTCTTGACTCCAGTGCCGGTGCTCTATCCACTGCACCACCTAACTGCCCCTGTTTGTTTCCTTTTCAGGCTCAGTTTAAGCACCATGTTAATTTACATGAAGCATTAAACTCTTTTTGAGTAGCGATTGTTTCATTGATTATGTTTCTATCCCCAGAATTTAGCAGAGTATGTGGAACATAGGGCTTAATAAGAGATGGTTGATTGATTGGCTGATCCGTCTCTCCTATAATAGGACCTTACTCCCAAATAATCTTGTAATTGTGTTATATACATATTAACAGTATGCTGGTAAATGTATAACAAGCACTTTCCTCCTCCCTCTCCCCAAAATGCGCAAGGCTCACTTTTAAGTTTAATCTGTAATGTTAGCATTTGTCTGTAACTTTCATTTATATGTGTGTGTGTGTGTGTGTGTGTGTGTGTGTGTGTGTGTGTATTTAACAGAACAATACATCTAAACCTGTGGTATTTACCAATTTTTGAGGTTTAAATGTTCTTATTGAAAATTGAACAATTGTTCTCAATAGACTGGATGATCTAGCTGCAGCACACCCTTTCTTTTTTTTTTTTTTGGCTAGGCAATGGGGTTAAGTGACTTTCCCAGGGTCATGCAGCTAGTAAGTCTTACGTGTCTGAACCAGATTTGAACTCGGGTCCTCTTGAATCTAGAGCTGGAGCTCTATCCACTGCGCCACCTAGCTGCTCCCAGCATACCCTTTTATAACAACAACAACAACAACAACACTAATAGCTAATATTTATGTAGTGTTTGCCATGTACTAGGAACTGTGCTAAGCACTTCATTATCTCATTTGATCATCACAACAATTGGGGGGGTAGGTGCTACTATTATCCTTACTTTACATATGATGAAACTGAGGGGAACAGAGGCTAGGAGATTCACCCAGGCTTACATAGCTAGTAAGTGTTTAAGGTCACTTTTGAACTCAATTCTTCCTGACTGGCCCAAGGCTTAATACTTTGCAACACCCAACTGGAATGCATCATGCTGCTTAGCATGAGCTGACATGTAAATAGAATCTCTCCTATGAAATTCCACAATACATGAAGATGGGTGCTCATGTAAATTATCAGTTGATATTTCTAAGGAATAATGCTGTCTGTAGCCTTTCTTGAAGTTGGTGATGCATTTTTTTTCAATTAACAAGCATTTGCTTTCTCTCCCTCAAACCTTTCAATCCCCTTTGAGAAAGGATAAAAAGAAAAAGAAAATCCTTGTAACAAATCTGTTTAATCATGAAAAATAAATTCCTTTGTTGGATATGTCCAAAAATGTACAAAAAGCATTTTTTTTATATTAAGTAAATCATCTCTTCTTAGGAGGGTGTAGCTGTACCCTCACATGAAAGGCTTGATTAGGCAAAACAGTTTACCCTCTCTCTAAACAATCACAAGAGAAATCTTGAATAGTGAGTAATGAGTAAATACATTTATTCATGTATATAGATCAGAATATAGCAGAAAATACACAAATGAACTTCCCTAACAAGTCCAACCCAAAGAGATATTTCAATTCAAACTGGAGAGAGTTCCAAATCTTACCTTCAGGAAAATTCCCCAAAGTCTCTAGGATTCATGCTGGAATTCAGGGACAAATTGTGAAGCTAGCCCAAATACCTGCCTTCCAAAATCTGCTCTTTCTCTTCATGAGTCTCTCGAAGAAGAGAAATCTGGAGTCTCATGTGTCTTCTGGATTTTATAATATCCAGAAAGTCACTATTCTGCGACATAAAATCAACTTTGAAACACATCTCCTCAGCACTTACTGCCTTTAGGGTCTTTAGGGTAGAGGGCATACATCAGGGAACTCCTTCAAGTCCTGTTTCAGGAGTCCACCCAAAGAATTCCTCTCATCATTTCCCACCCAACTGATCTCCTATATTTCATGCTTTGTAGAAACTCATTATTCTGCAAGATGAATTTAACTTCTTTTTCGGGAGGGAGTGCCCTACACTTATGAAGTCACAAATCTAGTGTGAAGAAAAAAAAAACTTGATTACCATAATTAGCACAGCATTTTCATCTTGATTTATTGTTAACAGCAGTACTAATCTTTAGCTTGATATCTAAAATATCAAAATGTTGGGTTAATGAACAAGCATTTGTTACTCCACAGAAATGCTATTTCTTAAAGTTCAGCAGCTGAAAGTTGTGTAATAGTTTTATTTTTAATTATGCAGGTATTAACTTCACACAAAAATAATGTCAACATACCTCACTTTAAATAAATTAATATTTTTGAAAGTCTCTCAAATAAATATTGTCATGGAACTGTGAGGCCATATTTATTCCACAATTAAAAAAATCAATATATTCTAACTAGCTAGAGAAAAGATGAAAAGACGATATATTTGGATATTGGTGAGCAAACTTATTTGCTTTCCTGCTGTTTTACATGTGCCTAAATATCCTGTCACTGTTGCCACTAGCCTCCTTATGATTCTCTCATGCTCCACAGTTAAAAAATAAGCAAGAAAAGAAGTGGATCATAGGATTATATGTATATCTGAAGCCAGATGGGTTAGGTCCAGCCAGAAATTGGAGATTAAAAGAGACAATAATTTGGGAGCTATAGCTAGCTATGATCATTAATTATAGAATCATACAATTTTAGAGTCAGTTGAAGTGACCTTATCATTGAATCATAATGAAGCTCAAATTAATAAATTACTTTATAGTTAGTATTGTGCTTTTCCATATAAAAACCTTCCCTGTTAGGTAAATAATAGGAGTATCATTATCCCAGTATGATTGCCTAGAAAGCTGAGGTGTAGAGAGGGAAGTGATTTGTCCAAGTCACAAAGTAAACACAGAATCATAAGATTGTTGTTGTTGTTTAATCATTTCAGTCATGCTTGACCCTTCGTGATCCCATCGGGGGTTTTCTTGGCAAAGATAATGGAATAGTTTTTCCATTTCTTTCTCCAGCTCATTTTACAGATGAAGAAACTGAGGCAAACAGGGTTAGGTGACTTACCCAGGATCATGCAGCTACTAAGTGTTTGAAGCCAGATTTGAACTTGGTAAGATGAGTCTTCCTGACTCCATGCCCAGCACTCTATCCACTGTGCTGACTATCTGCCCTAATCACAAGATCACAGAGGGTCTAAGAGTTTGGAAATCCCTTGAAGGCCAAATAATAATTTTTTGAAAAAATAATTACCTCTATAACATATCAAATAACTGGTCACCTATCCTATGCTTGAAGACCTATAGTAAGGAGGAACTTAATACTTTCTCAGGCAGTCCATTCTACTGCTGAACAAATTTAATTGATTTGCCTTTCTTTTTATGTACATAGACCCTACTCCAGTCAGATATTTCCACTTACTTTGCTTCCACTTCCATGTTCTCGTGGAGTCAAACTGATGATTTCTCTTGCCTCAAACAGTCATAATAGATATATAGCTAAAGGAGTACGTTTGCTGATTCTCAAGGTCTTATTCATGCAAGCGTCTTGTTTGTGTTCTCTTATGGTAATTAGTGATCCAGTAACACTGGATTCCTTGCTATTCTACAAAAGACATTAATATCTCTTGAGTCTGGGCATTTTTTTCTGCCTGTCCCTTGTGCCTAGAATGTTCTTCCTCCTGACCTCTGCCTTCTAGCTTCCTTTGAGTCCCAAATATAATCCCATTTTCTACAGGAAAACTTTCCTAGCCCCTTCTAACTGCAATGCCTTCCTTCCATAGCCCCTTTTTATCCTACTTATAGGTTGTTTGTACATATGTTTGCTTGTCTTCCCCGTTAGACTGTAAGCTCCTTGAGGGTAGAGATTATATTTTGCCTTTTTTTTTTAAATAACCAGATCTTAGCACAGTGCTTGGAACATAGTAGGTACTTAATAAATGCTTATTAACAAACTCTCAGAGGGTTTCAAATGAGAGATCTGATTTGTCTGACTGTAGAGTTATTTCAGAGTTCCGGATCTTCATTTTATGAGATATTTTTGCTATGAAATGCCCATTGTATAACCTCTTCTTGCCTGTGATGATTTCCCAACATAGTACAACTGTTGCTTTAGAGTGGGCTCTAGAGTGTTTTTCAATCCAATTCAATGAACTTTAAACATCTGTTATGTGCAAGGCAGAGGCAGCTATGTCATAATGATTTTCCTACAGCATGGCTCTCATTATGTGACTTTCCTGCTCACCAAACATTAGTGGCTCCCTATTACCTCTAGGATAATATATAAAATCCTATACTTGCAGATGAAAATTCTTTACAGCCTAGGCCCATGTTGACATCTCTAACCTGATGATATCTACTTCTATTTGATACACAATGCAGACAAGGCAAATCCAGCTTGCATACTGTTCCATCCTAGTGCCTTTGCATCTCTATGCCTTTGCATTGTGTCTTCCCTATGCCTGGAACATATTCCCTATTCACCTCTGCCTTCTTTACTTCAAGTGTCAGCTCATCTTTCCTTATCCTCTATCCTGCTAGTGCTTCTTCCCCTAAATGATCTCATTTTCTATTCTTGTATCTATCCATCTATGTCCATGCAATCTTCTCTGGCTAAATTGCCTTTCTTTGAATCCTCAGGACTCAGCACAATGGCTGGCATATAGCACATATCACTTAATATATGCTTGTTTACTTGTTGATTAATTGAGGATATTTTAAGTTCTTTAAGGTAAGGGAATCTTTCAACTTTGCTTTAGCATTTGCAGAGCCTAAAACACTGCCTTCCCTTTGTTGATTATTTCCAATAACAATTTTCCAGCCCAAAATAAGAAGTTTGGCAAGAAACATCATCTTACTGGGGTGACAGGGGAGCACGGTCTAGCACAGGCCATGGCAGTGTGGGCCCTGTCCTGGCAAGCCAGCAGCAGATCTTGGCGGGGTTTGGGGGTTGTTGGTGTTTCTCTCTGGCAACTTGCAGTATATTCTTGTTGATCTGGGAGCTCTGCAATTTTCGTTTTGAGATTTCTTTTAAGAGGGAATCAGTGGTTTCTTTCAATTTCTATTTTAACCTCTGGTTATAGGATATAAGGGCAGTTTTCCTTGGTAAACTTTTATAATATGATGCTGGGGCTCTTTTTTTTTTTTTGTTAAATCTTGGCCTTCAGGTACTGTAATTATGCTGTATGATTGTGATGGAATACCTCTGTGGGATAATAAATGATGAGCAGAATGCTTTCAGAAAAACCTGGACTTATATGAACTGATGTAAACTGAAGTGAGGAGAACCAGAACAGTAAATACTATAACAGCAACTGTGAATGACCTGGCTATTCTCAGCAATGAAATAATCTAAGACAATTCAGAAGGACTTAGTTAAAAATATTATCCATCTCCAGAGAAAGAATTGATGGAATGTCTGAATGCAGATAGAGCATCCTTTCTTTCTTTCTTTCTTTCTTTCTTTCTTTCTTTCTTTCTTTCTTTCTTTCTTTCTTTCTTTCTTTCTTTCTTTCTTTCTTTCTTGGTTAAGTGACTTACCCAGGGTCACACAGCTAGTAAGTGTCAAGTGTTTGGTCTGAGACTGGATTTCAACTCAGGTACTCCTGACTTCAGGGGCAGGGCTCTATCCACTGCGCCACCTAGCTACCCCCGATCATTCTTTTTTTAAACTTTATTTCATCTTATTTTATTTAGCATTTTCTTTCACAAAATGACAAAAATGGAAATGTATTTTTCTTGACTATACATGTATAAACTACATCAAATTGCTTGCCTCTTCAGTGAGAGAGTAGGGGAGGGAGGGAGGGAGAGAATTCAGAACTCTTTTTAAATGAATGTTAAAAATTGTTTTACATATAAATGGAAAAAAGAAATATATTTTTGAAAGACCAAGCCATAAACTTGAATTAAAACTTAAATTGAGAAAGATCTCCTCTAAAGAGGTCCAGAAATGATTTTTAATTAGTGAATTTTAAGGGGATTAAAGATAATGGTCATGTAAAAAGATCATTAACTTTCAAACCAATCTGTGATTCATATTTCTAGCCTGGTTTTGTTAACTGATTAAATAAGATTATTTCTCTAGAGAAAAGGTTCTGGTTTAGTAATGATTCTTTACTTTTTATGTTTAAACCTGAAAGTTCATTAAAATCTTGTAAGCTTCTAAATCCCCAAACAATATGAGTTTATCATTTGAATTTTATAATTAGTATTCAGAGTCTTCAGGGGATTTTTATTCTTGTTTATAAAGAGTCTGAATATAGAATCCATACAAAGTCAATTCATTAGTATGAATAAGATTAAAAATGGACTTGAAGAGTTATCTTTTTTTGACTTTTAATTTTTGACTGTTTGAAACTGTCAACAATTTTTTTTGCCATGTGTAATTGATATAAAATGGAGTATGCCATCTCAAAGTAAAAAACAATTTTCATTTGCAATGTAGTATGTTGCCTTTTATGTGCAAAAGACATCCTAGAAATGTTGTATAAAGGAGCTGTTTTAGGATCCTCTGGGTGGTTTAGAAACATTTGATTTGGTAGGAACTACAGCCATAAAGAGGCATTTTCATTGGGAAGAAATAGCATATTTTTTTTTTCCTATGAAAGCTGTTCAGTATATCGGTTTGATTTACTTATATTTTTGTAGGGGGAAAAGACATTAGCAAGATACATTTTACCTTCTTTGTAGCACAACTTTTGGCAGTGGAAGAGCATGTAACTACCCTTTATCTTGGAAAAATTACAGAGGGAATTTTTTAAAAATTATTTAATTTATTTTTAGTTTTCATCAATCACTTCCAAAAGCTTTAGAGTTTTAAATTTTCTCTCCCTCACTCCTCACCTCCCTCCCCAAGATGGAGTGAAATCTGGTATAAACTCTACATGTACGTTCTTATTAAACATATTTTCACATTAGTCATGTAGTAAAGAATTAGAACCTATAAGGGGAACCACAAGAAAGAAGAAACAAAACAGAAGAAAATAAAAAGAGCAAATAATATGCTTTAATCTGCATTCAAACTCCATAATTCTGTCTCTGGATGTGGATAGCATTTTCCATCACGAGACTTTTGGAGATGTCTTAGATCCTTGCATTGCTGAGAAGAGCTGTCTATCAAAATTAGTCATCTCACAATGTGGCTGTCACTATGTACAACAATCTCTAGATTCTGCTCACTTCACTCAGTATCAGTCCATACAAGTCTTTCCAAATATTTCTGAAGTCAGCCTGTTCATCATTTCTTATAGCCCAATAACATTCCATTACATTTATATACCACAACTTTTTCCACCATTCTCCAATTGATAGGCATCCTGTCAATTTCCAATTCTTTGCCACCACAGAAAGAGCTGTTATAAATATTTTTGTACATGTGGGTCCTTTTCCCATTTTTATGATCTCTTTGGTTTACAGCCATAGAAGTGCTATTGCTGGGTCAAAGGGTATGCACATCTTTAGAGCCCTTTGGGCATAGTTTCAAATTGCTCTCCAAAATGGTTGGATCATTTCACGACTCCACCAATAATACATTAGTGTTCCAATTTTCCCACATCTTCTCCAACATTGATCATTTTCCTGTTTTTTCATGTTAGCCGATCTGATAGATGTGATGTGGTACCTCATAGTTGTTTTGATTTGCATTTCTCTAATCAATAGTGATTTAGAGCATTTTTTCATATGACTATAGATGGCTTTAATTTCTTCAACTGAGAACTGTCTGTTTATATCCTTTGACCATTTATCAACTTGTATTCTTATAAATTTGACTTAATTCTCTATATATTTTAGAAATAAGGCCCTTATCAGAGAACTGGTTGTAAAATTTCTTTCCCAGTTTTCTACTTCCCTCCTAATCTTGATTGCATTGGCTTTGCTTGTGCAAAATCTTTTCAATTAATGTAATCAAAATTATCTATTTTGTATTTCATAGTCTTTTCTAACTCTCATTTGGTCATAAATTCTTCTATTCTTCATAAATCTGATGGGTAAACTATTCCTTGCTTTCCCAGTTTACTTATAGTGTCAGCCTTTATATCTAAAATATGCACCCATTTAGACTTTATTTTAGTATATGGCATAAGATTTTTTCCAGTTTTCCCAGAAGTTTTTGTCAAATACTGAGCTCTTATGCTAGAATCTGGGATCTTTGGTTTATCAAACAGTGAATTAATATAGTCATTGACTAATGTGTCTTGTGTACCTAACCCGTTCCGCTGATCCACCATTTTATTTCTTAGTCAGTACCAAATAGTTTTGATGATTGCTGCATTAAAATATAGTTTAAGCTCTGGAATGGCTAAGCCACCTTCCCTAACATTTCTTTTCATTAGTTCCCTTGAGATTCTGGACCTTTTTGTTATTCCAAATGAATCTTGCTGTTATCTTTTTAGCTCTATAAAACAATTTTTTGGTAGTTTGATTGGTATGGCACTGAATAAGAAATTAGCTTAGGTAGAATTGTCATTTTTATTATATTAGCTTGGCTTACCCATGAGCAACTAAATTATTTAGATCTGACTTTGCTTTTGTGAAAAGTGTTTTTAATTGAGTTCATATAGTTTCTATGTTTGTTTCAGTAGGTAGATACCTAAATATTTTATGTCTACAGTAACTTTAAATGGAATTTTTCTTTCAATTTCTTGCTGCTGAGATTTGTTGGCATTATATAGAAATGTTGATGATTTATATGGGTTTATTTTATATCCTGCAACTTTGCTAAAGTTGTTTATTATTTCAAACAGTTTTTTACTTTATTCTCTAGGATTTTCTAAGTATATCATCACATCATCTGCAAAATGATAGCTTTGTTTCTTCTTTGCCTATTCTAATACCTTCAATTTCTTTTTCTTCCCTTATTGCTAAACCTGATGTTTCTAGCACCATATTGAACTACAGGGCTGGTAATGGACATCCTTGTTTCATCTCTGATCTTACTGGAAATGCTTGTAGCTTATCGCCATTACATACAATGCTTGCTGAAGGTCTTAGGTAGATGTTATTTATTATTTTAAGGAAGACTCTTTATTTCTATTCTCTCTAATGTTTTTAAGAGGAATGGGTGTAGTATTTTGTCAAAAGCCTTTTTCTTCACCTATTAAGATAGTCCACATGGTTTCTGCTAGTTTTGTTGCTGGTGTGATCGTTATGCTGATAGTTTTCCTAATATTGGACCTGAATTCCTGGTATAAATCCTACCTGGTGATAGCATACTATTCTCATGATAAGGTTGCTGCAGTCTTTTTGCTAATATTTTATTTAAACTTTTTGCACCTATAATCATTACGGAAATTGGTCTATAATTTTCTTTCTCTGTTTTGACTCTTCCCAGTTAAGGTATCAGAATCATATTTGTATCATAAAAATAATTTGGCAAGATTCCTTCATAGCCTATTTTCGCCAATAGTCTGTATAGTATTGGAATTAATTGTTAATTTAAGGTTTGATAGAATTCACTGGTAAATCCATTTGGACCTGGAGATTTTTTTCACTAGGAAGTTCATTGATGGCTTGTTCAATTTCTTTTTCTGAGATGGGATTATTTAAGTATTTTGCTTCCTCTTCTGTTAATCTGGGCAATTTATATTTTTGTAAATATTTATTCATTTCACTAAGATTGCCAAATTTATTGGCATACAATTGGGCAAAATAGTTCTTGATTATTGTTTTAATTTCCTCTTCATTGGTGGTGGATTCACCTTTTTCATTTTTAATACAGTTAATTTGGTTTTCTTTCTTTTTTTAAATCAAATTAACTAAAGGTTTATTTATTATATTTTTTTTCATAAAACCAGCTCTTTGTTTTATTTATTAGTTCAATGGTTTTCTTATTTTCAATTCTATTAATCTCTCCTTTGGTTTTCAATGTTTTTAATTTGGTGTTTAATTGAGGATTTTTAATTTTTCATCAAGACAGTTTGGAAGTCCCCTATTTCTTTGAATGTCCATCTCTTCCCCTGAAAGATTATGCTCAATTTCACTGAGTAGTTGATCCTTGGTTGT